AGAACATCACAAAATTAGTAATATTCCAAAGTTTCGTTGCGAAATGTTGTAAAATGCGGAAAATATAGCCTTGCGAAATTTGCAATTTTCAGTCATTTTAGATTACAAACCGGAAATTGACAGCCTCGAAGGGTTTGGGGCTGCCAATTTCCCGTTTGTAATCTAAAATGACTGAAAATTGCAAATTTCGCAAGGCTATATTTTCCGCATTTTACAACATTTTGCAACGAAACTTTGGAATATTACTAATTTTGTGATGTTCTTTCAAGCTGTGATGAAATTTTTGTCTAGACTTGTTTAGTTCAAAATTTAGTCTATTACGCAAATGGTCAATTAGGAATCGAACCTGTGATTCTAGTGCAGCGCTCTAACCATCTGAGCTGCAGTCTACAGTAGGCTTGCTCCAAGTCTCTCTTTCATTGTCATATAGTATCGATCCACTATAGTGTACATTACATGACGTAGTACGGAGGGGCGGAGCGAGAAAGAGAGACTTGTCAACTTCGGAAAATCTCGGTTCAAATCTGAACCGAAAATGCAAGACTTGCTTTAATTGTTTTCTGTCAGTGTTTATATGTATTGATCTAGCACAGTGTAAATAACATGAGTTCCATTATAGTAAATAATACAGAAAGAAATTGAAGGAAAACAATTAAAGCAAGTCTTGCATTTTCGGTTCAGTTTTGAACCGAGATTTTCCGAAGTTGACAAGTCTCTCTTTCTCGCTCCGCCTCTCCGTGCTACGTCATGTAATGTACACTATAGTGGATCGATACTATATGACAATGAAAGAGAGACTTGGAGCAAGTCTACAGTCTACAGAGCCCAGCTGTCGAGCTCTTTTGCATTTTTCGCTTCAGTTCCTGGTTAAGTCTAACAAATGTATAATATTTACCCATATAGACTGCAGTATTATTTAGTATATCTGTATTTAGTTCCAGACTACGTAAAATGTATAAAGAACGACTGCTATCTTACAGCCCTCCTGGCTGTTCTTAACTTTAAAATATCCTAAGGTTTCCCATTCATGTATAATGTGTTTGCTCGATGTATAGTCATTCATTAGGAGTTAGGTGTCAATGGACCATTCCCCAATTAACCAAAATTTTGATCTTAACTAGCCTAAACAAAAATTTCATCACAGCTTGAAAGAGCATCACAAAATTAGTAATATTCCAAAGTTTCGTTGCAAAATGTTGTAAAATGCGGATAATATAGCCTTGCGAAGTTTGTAATTTTCAGTCATTTATTTTGTATTACGCACAGAAGTGGTAACCATTTCCCGTTTGTAATCTAAAATGACTGAAAATTGCAAACTTTGCAAGGCTATATTATCTGCATTTTACAACATTTTGCAACGAAACTTCGGAATATTACTAATTTTGTGATGCTCTTTCAATCGGTGATGAAATTTTTGTCTAGACTTGTTGAGATCAAAATTTGGGTTAATTGGGGAATGGTCCATTGGGACGCGCTGTTCCTCTCTCCGGTCACACCAATGTTGTATTTTTGCATGTTCTATACTAGTGTCAGTAATCAATCTTGTTTGTGTAAATGAATTGTGACAAATCAAACGCGTTCAGCGTTGGGATAAAATTGCAGTTGAATCATAACTTAAGGTGGAGTTACACGAGCAACAAAATTGTTGGAACTTGCAACAAAATCTGATTTCAACGCATGTTAAGTAGAAATGTCGACACATGTTGCCTTGTAATTTATGTGTAAATATTTTCACTTAACATGCGTTGAAATCAGATTTTGTTGCAAGTTGCAGCAATTTTGTTGCTCGTGTAACTCCACCTTCGTTTTGTCAACACGGACATATCAGATTGCCGAGGAGGGACTGGATTAAAAACTGTGTATCAGTTTGTGGTAATCTTCAGTACAAATGACAAAACATAAGATTTTTAAAGAGTTTTGCTTCCTTACATGAGAGCACTATGATGCAAAATATCGCCGCCAAAATACCAATTTTCGGGTGACGACCGTGTTGACAAAAATGTCGCTTGCTTAAGCTCACCAATGTGGTCGACACTAGAATTGGCTAATTTGGATTATTATAAAACTGTTCGGTATAAGACCAACGTCATCCACAAGCACATCATTCACAAATGCAACATTTACAAGCGATACCAAACTCTACCAAACCAACAACCAATGAAACTATATTCTTCGCGATGAATATCGACGCTTCGTAACCATAATGGTCCCAAACATAAATTCGCAGGCCCAGAAACGGCACGTTGGTTAGCAAAATCTCAAATAACCCAAAGCCAACAGCTATGGGATTACCCCTTTCTTCGACAGTGTCATCACCATCGAATTTATTCCTGGCTAAACCAAGGGAAGTGACTACAAAGCTTAAACATGCGAAGACAATGATCGATTTTTCAACAGTGTCGTCTAGATTAAAATCTTCCCTTTCGTTTTGCATCAGGACAATTTCCAGCATTTCAATTCCATCGAATAGATCCAAAGCCGCGAACACGGACAACACAAGGACACCTTTCCTGTAGGATGGGCTGATAACAAGTTGAAGAACTAAGACTAGCAAAGCGGGCGCGATACATAACATGATTTTTAGGAAGTTGGGACCGTAGGTTTCAGACTTGTCCAGCTTATGAGCAACCCTAACCCTAACCCTAACCCTAACCCTAACCCAAATATGATTGCAACTGAAATCATGTAGAGTAAAATGTATATGAACCATAATCCCCAGACTATCCAAACCCCTTCATCCGTCTTAGCGTAACCATTAGATATGCATACGACGACGAGAACAGCCAGGCCAAAGAGGTAAATTCCAACACCAATCCAATATAAATTGCTGTCGGTTGTGGTATGCTCTTCCAAAATCTTCATAAGGATGCACGCTTGTACTATGTACATTGCGAAAGCAAAAAACCAGCCACATAGGAGCAGACACTCAGATCTTTGAACCATAGCGAATGGGATATTTAAAATAACGTAAAATAATTTCACGGCACTATACTAACGTTGCAACGGGTCAACGGTTTTGAAAAGTGTAACAAAAGTTTTATATACGCCTCTCTTGTGAAAGCCCCTTTGTAGGAAATACCCGTTATTCTAAGAAAAGCAGCTGGTTATTCCAGTTATTGCATCGTAAGAGACACTTCCTGAAAAATGGCGAACTATGATAGGCTGAAACCACTGAGACTTGTACCGCTATCATCTTACCACTCAAATATTACCATGTCCATGTGGGAGTTATGGCTGAAGAAGCGAGATTTGCAATAATATTATTAAATACTATGTATTATTCCTATATATACTAAAGATTCAACTTTCTACGGTGCAAAAATTATGTGGCCTATCATTTTGCCGTAATTGCCAGTCTATTATGCCAACGCGTTGCCTTATCAACACAAAATCCGAAAAGTGCATACGCTGTGGTTAGGAAGCGAAACGAAACGCTCAGTGTGCAAATACGATTTATAAGCAAACTTCAGAGTAGTTATGCATGTAAACACCGAGAAAAACCAAAGCAGACTCTCGGTAGTTCACGTTGTAAAGTCAGGGAAGAATTACAATTTAAGCCGGGTGTAAATGCTTCGATTTTAGTATTTCGTTATCAATATCACGGGCGGATCTGGCCCGATTTGTTTGAGTGGGTTGAGGTTTTCCAGAGGGGTACATTACTAGAGGGGTTCGGGGGCATTCTTCCGCAGAAAATGTTTGAAATTTGAAGCCCTGAAATCCCATTTCCTGCATTCTGAGCACGACCATGTTTATATATTCGTTAAATTTGTCTTCACACTACTTGTATTTCGAGCAAAAATTAACAAAAGTGCTACGTTATATTGTGGCCCGCCGTGTTAGTGCTTGAATATTTCCTCGCGTACTCGAAAATCAATCATTTCAATATATCTATGTTTAATATAATAAGGAGTAATCACAATTCAAATATGCAATACCAGAGTTTTCTTCAAGGGGGTGCTGGACACCACTAAGGAGGTGGGCTCACCCGTTGCACCCCACCGGTAGATCCGCGTCTGTATATGTATCCAAACCATATATCAGTCGACTAAAATCCTAGCGTTTGCGCAGGATTTATATAATTGCTTGTTAAAATAACCAAATGGGTGGACAAAAAGCAATAGGCTGATTAAGAGTAACTCCAAGCAAGGCAAGTAATGTCGGTGCTATGCATCAACCTCGTACCCAGGCTCTTAAAGAGCCTGGGTACGAGGTTGGCTATGCATCACATGGTCTTCAGGTAGTTGGGTTCATGTTTCGAACTTCTTTAACCTATGGGCAAAGGGCCCATTCAAAGGTTTGTACACGCTTGTCTCAAAATAAAATGACAGTTCACTATAAAGGTCTATAAACGCTTTGTAATTTTCAATTTTTTACACTATATTTCGATTTATGACTACGGATACATTAATTACAGAGCTTGCATGTCTTTACTTATGAACATTTCAGTATTAAGTATAGGAACAACTCCATATTAAGTATAACGTGTGTTTTAAACCATGGAAACCTTGGTAAAAGTAGAACATTAGAAACTCCTTAGTTACTTATAATCATGAACCACATCAAAATACCACGTCTATACATATCGTCAGCCTCTTAGCATAGCCTAACTCATTTTTTTAAGTTTTGAGGAAAACAGAAAAAACCTGATTTTCATTCAAACCAAAACGTGCTCGTGTCATAGGCAAATGTTCTTTACGGCATATTCTTAAGAAGCTTGCTGATTGGATAATGAGATAGGCACTTTTGCAGCATATGCAACAACTGATTACAGAATGACTTGGGCAAAAAACGCATTTTGGCCCAAAAATGATAAGAGGGCTGACGAATATATAATAAAACTCTTCAGCAACATTTTGCATATTCAAATGGTTTAAAAACAGCTTGATACTTTTTTATGTCTGATATGTTTATTTCAAATCTTCGAGTCCCAGCTAAATGTTATACAGATTATACAGTACGATCAGTCAACCACATTTTATCCCGACGTAGAACATGTCATTTGGACATGCGGACGACACCAAAGAATGGGCTTATAAAACTGTTCAGTATAAAGGCCGATTTACAGTACACAACGTTTTCCTAAAACTGTCGCATGCAACCTACTTACAACTTAAGTTGTACTGTGTAAATCAAGCACACAACTTGCCTACGACAACGTAGGTTGCATGCGACAGTTTTAGGCAAAAAATAATTGTGTACTGTAAATCGGCCTTAACACCAAGATGTCTTTAGCAAGTCATTCACAAGTGCAGCATTCACAAGCGATACCGAACTCTACGAAACCAACAACCAGTGAAACTATATTCTTCGCAATAAATATTGATGCTTCGTAACCATAATGGTCCCAAACATAAATTCGCAAGCCCAGAAACGGCACGTTTGTGAATATAACCTCGATTAACCCAAGACAAACAGCGCCGTCATTACTCCTTACTCCGACAGTGTCATTACCAACGAATTTATTCCTGGCTAAACCAAGAGAAGTGACTAGGAAGCTTAAACATGCGAAGGCAATGATCCAGTTTTAAACACTGTCGCCTAGATTAAAATCTTCCCTTTCGTTTTGCATCAGGACAATTTCAAGCATTTCGATTCCATCGAACAGATTCAATGCTGCAATCACCGACAAGGAAAGAACACCGCCTCGGTAAGATGGGCTGATAACCAGATATAAAACAAGGACAAGCAATGCAGGAGCTATGGATAAGATGCTTTTGAGGAAGTTGGGTCCATACGTTTCGGACTTCTTCAACTTATGGGCTACTTCACCAAAAATGATCCCAACTGAAATAATGTAGAGTACGATGTATATAAACCAGAATCCCCAAACCCACCAAGCCTCGTCGTTCGTTTCTGCGTAGTCTTTTGATTTGCATACGACAATCAAAACCGCCACAAACAATGCGAGGTAGAGACCAACACCAACCCAGTATAAATTGCTGTGTGTTGTGGTATGCTTTTCCAAAAACTTCATAAGGAAACACGCTTGTATTATGTACATTGCGAAAGCCAAAATCCAGCCACAGGGAACCAAGCAGTCAGATCTATGAGCTGCAGCCATTTGCGAACACGATACTTTATCAAACTAATAAAAAACTTACAGTAACAATTTCACGGTACTGCGGATTACTAATGTTGCAACGGATCAACGCGGCTTCTGCCCTAAAACAACAAGTAGGGCCTTTATTTAACACCTTCGTTCACCATACTTACCCGTTTGGATGGTGAGGTGTTGGCCCAGGAGACCGAGGGGTGGCCTGGGACGACTACTGGCCTTACTGTTACTTGGACTCGGGTTAAAGATCCATGCTAGTGTTATTTTGAGCAGACCACCCACGCAGGGCCAACACCTTCACACCAATTAACAATTGGTGGAAATATAAAAGAACAGGAGAAAGAAAAATCTTCGTTCCTGATACGTTTTCTATGCTTCTAACGCACACTGATTGCTACATCACCAATGCACGGCCAAGCTCTTATTACATACGCGCCCGGCCCTCTTTTTGGTCACGTGATGTGCTGACGTAACGAGGCTTGGTTCCCTAGCTGTTAACCTTTGTTATTGCATAACCTCATTTAAATCGTTCTTGGGAAAGCCCCTTTGAAGGGGAATACCCTTTATTCTAAAAAACCCAGCTGGATATTCCAGTTATTATATGGTATGAGGCATTCGTGAAACATGGCGAGCTATGATAGGCTGAGACTCATTCTGCATTATCTTGTTACTAATAATTATTTTTATTAAGGTAATAATACTGTATATCTAAGAAAATATATTATTGTTTCCAATATTACAAAATAATTTGTTCATAAATCTATTATAATCATCATTACCATTATCATTAAGTGCAGTAGAACGTACTACATAAAAATGTACGAAATATTGAAAGCATACATGCATATAAAATCATTTGAATATCTAAAATTCGTGAGAATAGTTAATGAGCGCTAAACAAAAAATCACAGCTGTGACCACAACTCAATAGGTGACATTAACTAGCATAAAAATTCGTCAACCGGTTAAACTTAAATCGCGTCGCGAAACAAATCGGTGTGTGTAACATTGTCACGCAACGCCGATTTGTGTCGTGTCGAAGCATTGCAAGTTCTTGATGTGAGATCAAAAACTTGCAATGTCATTCTAGTACGTCATTTGTTTGCGGGTTCTGGTTTCGAGATTGCGTCATTTGCCGATTTGTGTTTGCAACGTTTCATTCCCAGGCCCTTTTCTCGTGCGTGCTATGACGTAGCATTCAATTTCTTATGAATTCTCCTGTCCAAACCTGTCGACGTCTCTTATTTACTTCGTCAAATTCCCTTTCTAGCATTAAAAATGCTGCATACAACAACAACTTTGTGTCTCGCCATTTTGAATTTTTATGTTTGCCCACTTGCCCCCATGCTCTTTAATTTAATCAGCGCGTTGCGGACCGGTTGGTTGCGAACTAGTGCAACACAAATCAACGAAACAAAATCAACATGTATAACAGGCTGCCCAATTTGTCTCGCAATACCTTTGCGATATAAATTTGCGAAACAAATCGGCGTTTGTAACCCCGGGTTTACTACATATTCACTTGAGATATTGTTAATCTACTGGTTCATTTGTGTATTTGAAGATGTAGTATATCAAAGCTGACTTCGTCTTCTTGGCTTCGCCTCAGACTAAGTATTCCACTTCATAGGTATTTTGGGAAAGCCACGGCACAGGCACACAGTATCTTTATGTTCAATATCTTGAGCTACATTGCTAATCATAGACAGTCACATAGTGTCTTCATTTTCAAATGTAGTGCACATATTCACCTGTTGCATTCGCGCCCCATTTCAAAATCCCTTTAAGGACCAAGAACTCGATCACGCCAAAGACTAAAGCAACAATATTCTTCACCATAAAGATAGCAGTTTCGTATTTGCGCCAAATGATGGCACGTAAAACCAAGAACGGGAGGTTAATCAAGAAAATCTGAAGTACAACAACAAGCATAGACGTGTCCTTTCTCACTTTCACCACGCCATCAGCTATAAACTTATTTCGAACCAATTCTAAAGGTGATAGGACGAAACAAGTGCATGCAGAGACAACAATGGATATTTCTATTGCCTTATTCAACTTGAAATCTGCTTCGTTTTGCGCCAGAAATATTTCCAACATTTTGATGCCGTCGAAGAGATTCAACGCGGCGAATATGGAGGACAGTAAGACGGGCTTCTGGTAGGATGGGGAAATCGTGAGTTGTAGCAAGAGGATTAACAATACTGGAGTCAAACACAGCGTACCCATCAGTGTGTTGATACCAAGATCGTCATCTTTTGTAAGCTTGTGCGCGACCTTTCCAAAAATCATGGCAACTGTGATGACATAAGCAACAATGTATGCTCCCCAAATAATCCAAACGTACTGAACTCTTTCGTCGTTGTCTGCGTACGATATCTTGGTGCCAGTGAACTTTGCAAATATAAAATAAATTGGGAGTGAATACAATAAACACCACAAGTAGTATCCATCGTTCTCCACATATTTTACCAAAAACGCAACGAAAAAAATAACTTGCACCAAGTAAAGTATAAGAAATGTACACCATCCGAGACAAACGAGACACAGCAACCTTTCTACCGTCCTTGCTGTGCTTTTTTCCATCGTAAAGTTACGTCTTTCACGAATAAATTACCCTCGAATATGATACGTTTATAAAAAAATTTCTACTGTTCTTTGCGCAAATCACGACTCTGTTAAAATAGTTTTATGCAGCCTACACGAGTGTACATATGTTTTTCTTGGGAAAGCCCCTGTGAGGGAAATAACCGTTATTCTAAGAAAAGCAATTGCGTATTCCAGTTACCACATCGTATGAGACACTTCCTGACACATGGCGAACTATGATAGGCTGACAGTCAGCCGTCAGCCTATCATAGTTCGCCATGTTTGACATTTTTGTTATCATAATCTTACCACTTAATTAAAGGGCTACTGCAACGAACTTTTCGACCCACTTTTTTTAGCTTAAATAAAAATGCTTTCCTTCCTGACCTGTTTACCGTAAACAGCTTTAAAATTGGTCAATTCGAACCGATTTTATGCCCCCCCCCCCCCCCCCCCCCAAGATTTTTGGAACTTTGATCGGCCACGTTGATGCCATGTGACGTCATAAGATGAACACGATTTCATCATGGCGAACTATGATAGGCTGAGAGTTGTATTATTATAATCCCACCGCTTAATTAAAGCTTAATTAAAGGGATACTGCAACGAAATTTTCGACCCATATTTTTTAGCTGCATCCAATGAATGTATAAGTGTGATGCAAAGTAAATAAATAAATCATGGCTCATTAAAATTATAGTGAAACTATATCGAAATTTGGCGTTGTATAAGGCCCGTTTCAGACGCCACCCATGTATTTCAACTATTTTTTACGCAAATCACGTAAAAATTCTACGAAAAGCAGCTGCGTATTCCAGTTATATTAAATAGCTTAAGATCTACGACGTCGACGTCAGCTAGGACGCCAGGGCTAATCAGAGGACTGGGACTAGGACGTCGTCCTAAATAAATAAATATGTTCTTGTATTTACGACGGTAAAACTCTTGCTGAGGTTGTCGACGTTGGCGACGAGCAAATTGAGAGAGATACATGCACACTTCAAAAACTATTACCACTTTACTTCCGCTGGCCCGGCCCTAAATATTTGACGTCGTAGATACTTAAGCTATCGACTTATTTAGAACGACGTCCTATCCCAGTCCCCTGACGTCGTAGATCTTAAGCTATCTATTACGGACTTTACGATCTACGACGGAGCCATCTCCACGATGTCGAGTCAATTTATGCTTGAAATAAGCCACAGGAATTTAACTATACTGCTTTAATTGTCTAAAGCATGTTTCAATAATCTTACAAATTTTTAAATTGGCCTAAACTACTCCGCTGTTTAGCTGTTGTTGCCATTCTGTCAACGTTATAAAACAGCTCCCATGTCGCAACGAGCTTTGATATCGCTAGGAAGACGTGAAAATTACTCGTTTGACGGTGTTCCAAGAATTTAAGACTACAAATTTTTCATCCCTTTTGTCTCGCATGACGCATTTCTTTGTTTTGCAAGCGCGTCGTCGAGCTGGCTGCGTCGTGAATCGTAAACTCTCTCGATTACATCGATGATAGGCTGAATGAGAGTTGTTTGTACTGTTTACAACTTGAGTCGCCGTGTTGCATCAGTTTTTATATCCGATATACAACACGAACGCCAATGTTGTAAATGGCTTGTGAAACGTCTTGATGAGAACATTCGTTGAAGATTCTTCAACAATTTAAAAGAAATGAATGATATTTCGTGAGAAAATTGAACTTATAAAGTTTATGTAAATCAGCATGGTTTTGTTTCAGATGTACAAACTCCTTCACGCTCATGATTTATTCTGTGTTTTCTTCACGAAGTATTAATAAATTAATAATTGATATGAATTTAATTTATTATTTATAGTTATAAAATAACCTTTTAATAACGCCTGCGCTGATTGGTTGAAAAGCGAAAAACCCCGTGTTTCTATAACGCTATCGAACACGGGAATTTTCCACGAACCTCAAAACAACACACTAAAACAAACGTTTTCGCCTGAAATATCGATCAAAAATCTTCGTCAACCTGAATTTTTTATTAAACAAGCAATGAAAAACACTAATGAATTCATTCAATTTAGATAATAAATTCAAACTCATTCACGCTCATGATTTCTTTTGCGTTTTCTTCATGAACTGAGTTTCACAAACACTATTATCATCTTAATACCACTTAAAGTTATAATTTTTATTAACATTATTATTTTAATCAGTATTAGTATTGTATATTATCATTGCAGACAAATCGTCTGACAAGCAAGATCATTACTTTATCATTAACTGCAGTAGAACTACATGAAGATGTATTGAATATTAAATAAACTTAAATTTCTCTTTACTAACATTCATTTGTGATATTGTTACCCTATTGGTTCATTTGTGTATTTGAAGATGTAATATATCAAATCCCACATCGTCTTCGCCTCAGACTAAGAGTCTAAGTATTTTACAAGATTCGCCAAACATAACAGACATAAATAAGACATTACTTTACAAAATTTGCATACAATTCGGGCAGGGACTAACCACAGAGATATTTTAGCGATATTTTATTTTAGAAAGATGTTTTATTTACAGAGATATTTTATTTTAGAGATATTTTTATAGGTATTTTAGCAAGGCACAGACGTACAGTATCTTTATTAACTATCAAATTATTGAGCTACATTGTTAACCAGCATAGTCATATACACACATAAAAACGCCCAAGTTGTCAACAGGATGTGTTCGCAATGCTTGTTCCCAGCTTATTGGCAAGTACAAGTTGTTCCAACAACTTGTTATCGTTCTGCAATTCAACAATTTGTCAACCAGTTGTGAGTGACAATTTGTCAACACTGTTCTAGCAAACTGATGAAATAACAGCATTGTTACAAGTGGTTGACAAGCTTGCTACAAGCCTGTTGCGAACATATCTTGTTGACAAGTTGGGAGATTTTTACGTGAGTAGTATATCTTCATTTTCAAATATAGTGCACTCGTTCACGCGCCGCATTTCAACATCCCTCTGCGGCCTAAGTACTCAATTACGCCAATGACTAAAGCGAGAATATTCTTTACCATAAAGATAGCAGCTTCGTACTTACGCCAAATTATGGCACGTAAAACCAAAAACGGGAGGTTAATCAAGAAAATTTCCAGCTGAACGAGACTGGCGGACGTTTCCTTTCTAGCTTTCACTGTGCCATCAGCCATGAACTTATTTCGAACCAGTCCAAAAGGCGAGAGAATGAAACAAATGCAGGCAAAGACGAGAATGGATATTTCCGTTGCCATGTTCAGATCGAAATCCGCTTCGTTTTGCGCCAGAAATATTTCCAACATTTTGATGCCGTCGAAGAGGTTCAACACGGCGAATATGGAGGTACGTAAGACAGACTTCTGGTAGGATGGGGAAATCGTGAGCTGTAACAGGAGGATTAGCAATACTGGAGTCAAACATAGAGTGCCTACCAGTGTGTTGATACCAAGAATGTCACTTTTAGTAACGTCGTGTGCGAATGTGGCAAAAATCATGGCAACGGTGGCGACATAAGCGACGATGTATGCTCCCCAGGTAATCCAAACGCGTCGAATAGCCTTGTCGTCGGCTGCATACGATCTCGCGCCTTTAAGGAAGTACCCGAACAAAACAACTGCTGGTATAAACAACAGAAACCACGCTACGTATGCACGGTGGTGCAAATATTTCACCAAAAACGAAACGAAAAGACAAACTTGCAACACGTAAAGCAGCAATAACGTTACCCTTCCAAGATTAACGAGCCATTGCGACCTTTCTGGTGGTTCTGCTGCGCCTTCTGCCATCGTAAGCGATGTTTTAACTCAAAAACGTCGAAGAGTTTGTTTAGAATGTAGCGTAGTTAACTTACAACGTAGGCAACCTACTAACTTTCGTTTTTGTGTTAGCCACATTCAACATAAGAAGTGAGATGTCAAGATGATGAATTTCGGAGATTGTCGTCAGGCCGAGCGTTCTACGATTGTTTTTTTTTTATTATTATACATGGTCAATTTCCGAAATTGTCGTCAGGCCGAGCATTCGACGATTGTGTTTTTTTATTATACATCTATGGTAGTACGTATCAGTTTAGGTCGCTATTTGCTCAGCTTTGCAAAATCTGGCCAAAGCGTTCATATCTTCATATATATGATTTTATGATATGTGCTTTATTGATGCACATTTATCATTTATGTAACATATAAACATCATGCAGTGTGTCCTCAGGTATATTTTCGTTGACAATGTATAGTCTCATTCATTATTTAAGATTTCAGTTACGTGCTTAGTTTATACTAGCATGCGCAGCCGTCGTCATAAATTTCCACGATGGAAACGACCGACAATAATTTGCATAATTCAGGTAAGGATACCGTAAACTTCCGAATATAAGCCCCCCCCCGTCTATAAGCCCATCAAATTACTAACGTTCACACCATTCCGTATATAAGCCCCCCC